CACGTATCTCCCTTTGCTCTGTTGTGTCCTGTGTTGGATCGTCATTCGGGAACAGTGCGTCTAAGTAGGTGGCAGCTGTGGCTCCTGCGATGTCTGTTGTAAGAGAGGGTGGGGCGAAGATCTGTGATGGCTGGTAGATTTTATTAGTCGACAATTTATGGAGGACGCTGTATGGATTGTTATTCTGCGTGCAAAAAGTTCTCCAACTTGTTATCTTTGCTGCGAGGATGTTCTTTTTGTATGATGCCCTTTCCTTACGGAAAATTGAAAGGTAGTGCATTTTTTTTGTGTCCTCGTCGGTTGCTGTTCTTATTCTGCGCCTTAGAGCACGACATTTCTGACGCTGTTGCCTGAGTTCTTTACTCCACCATGAAATGCTGTGCCGTTTCTTGGCAGCTCGCGTTGGAAGCAAATTTGAGCAGATGGTCTTAATATTATCCAGAAGATGTTCTGTAAATTCTTCCATCTCGTCTTTGCCGTTGTAGGCTTCTAGTGTCTCCTGTTCTGCTGTTAATAAAGTAGAGAAGGCTGCTGTCAGAGGACGGATTTTGGCTTTTGGTAACTTAAAGCGCTTTAAAATACAGATGTTGGTGTCACAGTTGATTGTGAAGGTTATGTAACGGTGATCCGAGCAGCTTAGTTCGTCGCTAACTTTCCAGTCCTGTACTTGCGATAGAGCCGTTCCTGTTGCCAGGGTGACATCTGGCCAACCTTTGCAGTACGTATTATCAAAGGTAGGGGGTGCGCCGCTGGTATTGACCAAATGTAGGTCGTTTGCTGTTAAGTAGTCCTCTAGCGCTTGTCCCTTGGGAGTGATATCTTGGTATCCCCAGTTTACATGATGCGCATTAAGATCACCCCCATAGACTTGTGGCGTTGAATGGCATTTAGATCGGACGTACGTTGCGTTTGCTACGAAATTGTCGATGGAATCTGTTGGGGAGGAGTACGCAGATATAAGAATCAGTTGTGCATTTTTGAGCACAATTAAAACGGCAACAAAGTCTCTGTCCTGTTTAATTAGCAGCGGATTCCAGGCTGGGTTACAACATATTAGACCCGCTCTTGGTGCTTGATCTTGGTTCCTTGCTTTTGACTGGAAGACCTGCCATGCTATAGGGAAACCTGCAATGCGTCCTTCCTGGCAGTACGGCTCCTGGATCATCAGGAAGTCTACAGAATGCTCCGTTGCATGTTGTATCGCCTGTGCTGTAGCAACTTCTGCTCTTTGCAGGTTTATTTGTGTGCAGCGGATTATCTGTGCTGTCGTAGGGTTATTTGATTCTGTGGGTATCGGTTGATTATTACTTGTTGCTATTAGTTGGCTGTTAGTACGCTGTGCTGCGTTGTTGCCGTTCAATATATCGTGCGTATGTCGGGCATGAGGCTGTGTATGCTGCATGCGCGGTATTGATTTTACCACGTGTTCTGAAATTAAAATCGGCACAGTTGATGCAGGTTGGTCTGCTGGCTCTGCATTCCTTAACGCTGTGACTTCCTGAGCAGAAGGCGCAATGTTGCTGGAATTTACATTCACTTTGTAGGTGTCCGAATGCCTGACATCTATAGCACCGTCGCGTATTAAAATATTCTGAGATTCTGTAGACTCTCCATCCGAAGCTGATCTTTTTGAGTTGCGTAAGCTTGTCGTATGCCGCAGGTTCGCATTGGATAATCCACTTTGTTCCATTTCGTCCTTCTTTTAGTCTGTACAGAACCTTTGCTGTGGACTTTGTAAGAGCAAATTCTGAAGCTAGAGTCCTTTCGACCTCCTCCCTCTGTACTTCTGGCGGTACAGCGTGAATTGCAACCCTAGGATGCCTTTTTTCCGGGAGTTTCGTCTGTACAAGTTTTTGACCTTCTTCACTGCCCAATGTATTGGCTAGTTTAGAGAGGTCTTCTTTTGTGGGGCAATCTACTGCCAGTCCTCCTTTTTGGATTTTCCTTATTGCATTAACTCTAACTCCTAAGGTAGCAAGGGGGAATTTTTCATTCAAGGTGGCTTTTAGATCTTTGCCTGTTCCTTTGGCGTCTTGGGCCGGATAGATCAGCAGAGTATGGGTTCTGGGTTTTCTAGACTGGCTGGGCTTCTGAATCAGCTTTGCTGCCTCCGCAAAAGATCTTGGGATGGGAACCTGGGGAATTACAGCTGTTTCTACGTCAGTGAAAGGGCTTGGTGCTGCTGAATCACTTGGTCCTGCGTTAGGTTGGAAGTGCGCTAAGCCGCAACAGACGAGGGTAGATGTGTTTGTGCCTGCCTCGTGTGTTGGCGGTTTTGGACTGAAATCTGGCCCTTCGAGTGCCAACCCTTTTAGCACTTCCAGTGAATCCTTGAGCCTGTTCCTTAAGACTTGGGAAAGAACGTGTTTGCCTCCTCGATAAGTGTCGGCAATTAGACTGATGTCCCTTGCTAGAGCTGCAATTCGCTCTTCGCGTGTAAGCTCAGACGTCAATAAGGCCTCCGTATCCAAGTTATCTTGTGAGGTAGTTCCTGCTTTATCTGATAAAGTTGTCGGACGTGTCATGTCAGAGTGGAAACACAGCACTGAGCAATTATGCGCTGAACACTAAAAGACTAGCACTTAGCACTTCGAGATGACACTTGCGTCACACTTGGTGAACTTATAACACTTGACACACTTTAACACACTTTTAGCACTATTGCACGATTGTGCCTCTCTGGGTATCTTGGCAGACAGACTTCTCTGTTCTTCATCTGATATTAATTAGTTGAAATCTAATAATTGTTATCCACGGTAAATGTATTTCTAACTTTGACACACACACTTGCACTATATAAACACTGCACTGCACTGAATTCTGCTATTTATTTCTAACTTTGACACACACACTTGCACTATGTAAACACTGCACTGCACTGAATTCTGCTATTTATTTCTAACTTTGACACACACTTGCACTATGTAAACACTGCACTGCACTGAATTCTGCTATTTATTTCTAACTTTGACACACAACACTTGCACTATGTAAAACACTGCACTGCACTGAATTCTGCTACTTTATTTCTAACTTTGACACACATACTTGCACTATGTAAACACTGCACTGCACTGAATTCTGCTATTTATTCTAACTTTGACACACACACTTGCACTATGTAAATACTGCACTGCACTGAATTCTGCTATTTAATTCTAACTTTGACACACACACACTTGCACTATGTAAACACTGCACTGCACTGAATTCTTCTACTTATTTCTAACTTTGACACACACACTTGCACTATGTAAGCACTACACTGCACTGAATTCTGCTAAGTCCAATAAATAGAGGAAAAAAATGTATCTCCGGATCTAATTATCGGAATGACACCAAATTTGGAAACTTCTGTCCGCGAAGGTGAAGTATGAGTAATGGCGTTGGTCCCAGATTGGTGCGTCGAGTTGTTCTTTAATTACTACGTTGAATAAAATAACCCACTTGATAAAAATTCGCCGTTGTGAATGACCTTCGCGAACTTCCTGCAGCTCGCGGGGGGGGGGGGGCGAAACGATTTCCTTCAACGGTCGAAAAGTGCTTGCTGAGCGAAAATTCGCTAACTTATATTAGTAAATTAATTATAATTCATCATCCAGTTTGCCGATTGAGATAAAACCAGTATTAATAGAAAGCTGAAGTAATCCTCTTTCCAATGATACCAGTATTGGACTGCTGCGACTTCAGATGGCTTCCTAATGCAGTTGTGAAGATGGAATTCACGTCGAAAATGGCGTCAAGGAACGCTGATTAATGTTCAAAATTTGTAAAATCCACAGTTAACGAACTAATAGTCGTATACGCATAAAATTGATATCCAGGTACTCCTGAGGGTATACGCTATTACGTGACAACTACTTTTGCGTTCGTAGAACGATTATTGCCGCTGCTGTAGATCAAAACGACGGAGCGCTATCCGAGCGTGGCTCAGTACGTACCATGACGTGATAGGCCAGGCTACAATCAACAACAGTAGTTTTCTAAACAACAACAAACTAAACAACTGCTACAAACTGAGATGTTTTCCTCCTTTTATAAAATTTAAAATCACGCGCTAGAATTTTAGCACTTTCTCGAAATCAAAAGAGATATTTATTATTTAAGCACGCGCTCTTGTATTTTTAATTTTTCCGGCTTAGCTTTCTTTTAATATTCGTCACGCGCTGCACTGCGCGAGAAATAAAACCATTTAATTTATAATTGAACTAACATTAGCTTTTTAAATACCAAATTCGTAACAATATTTAATACAAAAATCAAGATTTCGAGGTCGAATTATCAGTTTCTGTACCTTAACTGGTGAAAGAAGTCTGATAATTTGAAGCTGGAAGTCCCAAACAGGATTTGGGTCTTTACAATGCCATAAAAGAGTAATAACTCAAGAGTAGGGTTCCTATCTACTATTCTTCTGCACTTAGCCGTAACGCGTTATTCTTGAGGAAAACAAAATGAAAAATATGCAACTAGTCAGAATATAAAGCTAGAATAACGTCGTGTATTGAGCATCGTTTTAAGGTTTAATGATCCTATTCTTATGCTTAAATAAAACTTTTGTCAGAGCTTGTGTTGAATCGCAGCAGAATCTCTGGGCTTTCACTTTTAAGTTGGTAGCGTTTTAAAATTCTGCAAGTTTATACTGAAATTCCTATGGTATTCATTCCGAATGTAAATAATTTCCTTCCCAGTAAAGATTTATGTAAATGAAAAAGCCCATGAGATAGAAGAAAATTAGATTCTTCTATGCACTCACGTCAGCTCCTAAAACTTAGTAATTTTATTGTTTTTACAACCCTGAAAGATAATTAAAAGTAGTAAAATAACTAGTTATTTTTAGTTAAGTTTATTTTTAAAATGTAAGTAATCGCACTAAAAGTTCATCAGATAGCATTCCTTTCAGATTTCTTTTTATTTCTTTATTTTTTTATTTTGGAAAAAGTTTAATTTATTACATATGCTGATGTATATTAGATATATTATAATATTTTTCATTCTGACAGTGTTGAGGAAAGCTTTCGATATGTTTGACCGAGACAAAAAGGGATGCATTCACACAAATATGGTTGCCACGATCCTCCGAACACTAGGGCAGACGTTTGAAGAAAGAGATCTAAAAGAACTCATTGAAGAAATCGACTCCGATGGTAAATATAACACTATTTTTGCTATTATTACAGATGTATGTATTTAATTTCTTAAAAAATCAGCAATTTTACTTTGTTTTTGAGAATATTTAAATATTTGACGAATTTCACTGCCTATTTTTCGAAATGTTGTTTAATCATTCATTGTAATTGAATTCTTTTTGGTCGTCGATGCCCTACAGAGTTACAACAAAAATCATCGCTGTCTTGGGACTAATGTAATTCCCATTTATCCTCTCTGATTATATTTTCAGTCTCACTCTCTGCCTCTTCTGTTCTCGTGACATATGAAAAGATATTCACATCACTCAAGCATTCAAAGCCTGGTTCGGTCGAATCGTTATTGAACCATTCTTCGATGCTTTTTCATCGACATTTTGAAAGAATTTTAAATTTTCAGTTTCTTGGAATACAACTTCAATTATTACTTAGACTTTTTCACGGTTTGGTAAATCTCCGATGAAGAATCTCTCTCCATGACCCAACCAGTGTTATTAGTTTTAAGTTCGACTATAATTCGATTAATTACTGCTTCGGTTACTTAGTATAGGACATCCAGTACAGTCAATTTAACTGTGCACCAGCAGAAAGAATTGTACGAGGTAATCGTTGGAAGTAAACCTAAAGGCGCAATTCAGCGGTTCTTTAAGCAGGCTCAGATTTGTCCATGTTTGTTTTTTATACTAAAGCAGACTTGAAAATGAGAGTTGAAGCGTGCGTGCTTGAAAATGCGTGCGTAGGCACCGCCATGCACGATAATCTACAAACTGGATAATTCAGAGAGCACTGTATTATTATTAATAATAGGTATTCGAATCCTCGCAATCCAGGAATCTTCAGAAAAAATTTCAGATTTGAAAATCCTAAGCATCGTACTTTTTTATGTCGTACCTTTTTTAAAATCCAACCTAAAAATCTATTTTCTCCCTCCTTCCAGCGTGCCTTCGTAGCACACTCGGCGCGTACGCGAGAGGTCTAGGTTCGAGTCCCGGCGAGGGCATTGCTCATTTTTCATGTCTCCTTCATCAAAAAACCTAATGACTCTACAGTGGCGCCCGAACTAAAAGATGGTGGATACGTCACCACCAGGATTTGGCGATTGGGTTACCTAATCCCCAATCGCCCTTTAAAAGGATCTCCCGTTTTTCAGCATGCCTCCATGGTGTAACGGTAGCACATTCGGCGCGTATTCGAGAGGTACAGGTTGGAGTTCCGGTGAGAACATTGCTCATTTTTCACACGTCCTGCTTCAAAATATCCTAATGGCTCTACAATTCTTAAACGTTTTAACTTAAATATTTAACAGAAAACATATGTACTGATTCTATGAATCTTTTTAAATATAACATTCGCCAAAGAGCTTTAAAATCTTTTGTTGAAGTCAATGACCTTGGTAAATTGCATATTTAAACACCAAAATCAAATTTTTGGGAAATGCAATGAAAATCTGTAAGTTTCATATCTAGAATGTCATTCTTTTGAAATTTCGATGTTAAAAAAATGCACTTGATATTAAATGACATGTGCACTTTACTGGAGGTTGGTGAAATGGTTATGTAGTAATTTTTATGCATTATACAAAACTACTATTAAACCATAATTAGAATAATTAAAACTAATTAAAACTACTAGTTAAACTAATTGAAACTTTTTTCATTAAAAATACGTGGAACATCATAACAAGCTAGAAATTATTTCAGTATAGTGGACAGCGTATATTCTGCAAGCAGAAATACGTCGGTTAAATATGACTCACTTATATTGATGGATAGTAAATAGGATATCTTCTACCCAATCTCTCTTATTCTTACAGGAAGTGGTGAATTAGAATTTGATGAGTTTTTGACATTGACTGCTCGTTATCTGGTGGACGAGGATTCAGAAGCTATTCAAGAAGAACTCCGAGAGGCATTTCGAATGTACGACAAAGAAGGCAATGGGTACATCAACGTTTCAGACCTTCGGGAGATTTTAAGGGCTCTTGATGATAACCTCACGGAGGATGAATTAGATGAGATGATAGCCGAAATTGACACCGATGGAAGTGGAACAGTTGACTTTGATGGTGAGTATTTGAGTTATACCATTGTGAAACTCAGAATTTACACTGATTATAAGCAGACTTAAGCAGTTAAAGAAGTTCATTATTTAAAGAATATTATAGTTTCCCTCTCTGAAAAACGATTATTTTTTCTTGAAACATCCATTCTAAATTTTAATAGAATACACATTTTCATAAGAATGACGCTTTGTAACAGAACAGGCTTTAATCGGTAGCTTTTTTAATACTAATCTTAAATTGCATGGTCTAACTTTGGATTATAAAAATAGATCCTGTGTCAATATAATACCAACCAGAAGCTGATGATTGCGTGATCCTCCTTGCGTGACTTATTTAATGCGGTTATGTGTCTCACTGTTTCTCAAACTAAAAACTGGAACAGGAGAAAATGCACCTACTACCTACTTTAAGGAAGTTTTAGAACTACAGCATCAGAAACGTTATCGAAGACGTAAGCAAACCATAGCATGAATAACGCTAAGCAACGTGAGGGCAATATGGAAGTGCATCGTGCCGCATTGTGTAAATGATTACATTGATTTTTGAAACTCCTTTTGCTCAAATAACTAATAACTTTATAAGGTATTTATCCCGCCTTCTTAGTGTGCCTTCGTGGTGTAGTGGTCTGCACGCTGGGCGCGTATTCCAGAGAGGTACATGGTTCGATTCCCGGCGAAGACGTTGCTCATTTTTCATCTCTCCTGTTTCGAAATAACCTAATGACTCTACAACTTAACGGAAACTTAACAGCAGCTTGATTTTGATGTGTCAATGACAGTGGTGCATGAAATCGAACATTATTCAACTAAATCTTTTTTTTTTCCCCCGCGAACAGCAGGCATTTGCCCTTTTTTTTTTTTCAGGTTTGGCCACTTCTAAGCCATGAAGTGGTGGCCATTTTATTGTGGAGGCACCTAATAGGCGTCCACTGTTACCTCCTATGAGGGGACGGACAAATTATATGGATGCCTTCTCCGGTATTCGGAACCTTCGGTGTCCTAGTTGGCTATACCATATGAGCGGCTTCAATTACATCATGAAAATGCAGATTTAAAATGCAGACGCCGCAAATGCTGCATGCTATTATACGTTCAGTAACGTCTTCACTAATGACATAAGCTCGGGTACGTAATGCTCTAATGTCGAATTATGGAATTCATTTTCTTCTGGCAAATTATTAGTTATAACATGGACAGTTAAAAATTCAGATGCTTGTATTGCAATTGTAACACGCTATTGCATATACAGCACCATCTTCGTTGATGATATAAACTTGGCTACTTACATTTATTATGTAAGTAACCAAGGGAATAATGGGGATCGAGTTTCAGTTTTCCAAAACTGGCAATTAGATCATATAATTCACCTCTGAAACTCAGTACAAATAAAATTTTAAAGTAAAATAAGCTTACTTAAACGATACTATAACAACAGTAGCGACGCTTATTAAATTTTAGTTTTAATTATTTCTAGAAAAAATGCGTATTAAGTTTTCCCCAGCATTTCGATTACAAATCTATTCCATTCTTTTGGTATGCTTTTACACGAAATGAAAGAAACTGAGTTTGAAATTTAATACATTATTCGCCATCACCCAATAATGCCATCACATTTACTTCAAACGTGTAGCCATATATCCGATTGACATTCTAGTTTTACATTGTTCAAACTGGTTCTTAGATCACAGTTTATATCACGCCTTTGGAATGAACACCATTGACTGTTCTACATTTTCTTGTTAATAATAGGCCTTTATGGATATTGAGATATAATGATCCTAATCGATACTAGGAAACAAGTTATCAGAACATGTAAATATTTTACATTTGGGAAGAACAAGGGTATCTAACAGCTTTTAAAAACATGATATCTCCCTTGCTGATTGATAAATAAGCAAAGTAAGATTGATAATAAGCAAGGCAAACTAAGTTTCCCGAAAACTAATAGGCAGCTTGAAACCTTAGAGACACGGTAAACAGCCCTTCTGTTTTTCTTGGTGATACCATTTGGTTTATGTTCGAATGCTTTTTTGTATAAAAGCAGTTGATTTTACTTCTGTTTTTTGGAGGTAAATAAATTAAATATGAATACTTAATCATTTCTACCATAATTCGATAATTATTTATTTCTGTAAACGTTTTAATGAAAATTTTTAACTACAATATCAGTTTAACTGAATGTCTTTTTCTTACTTTGTTAGAAACCTCATTTTGATGATGAGTAGTTACCTTTAATACGCTCTGTTTTATGCTATCGTTGAGTAATATATAAATTTATCATTTCTGTAAAATTAATTGCATTCAATAAAAATTTTGTCTAAACAGAAAGAAAGTGCTTACACATTTTCATAATTTCAGTGAGAAACGAAAAAAAAAAAAAAAAAAAAAAAAAATAGTAAATATTTTGGAATAAAAATTTTTCGCAGTAGCTTATTGCTTAGAATGAGAAATATCATCTGCTACTTTTAAATTTATTCTTCTTTCAAAATGTCGCATGTAAACAAGCCGGGGATTAAAGCATACGTTCTTGCGCTTCAAGAAATATTCCTTTCCGTAATCAAAAACGTTGTGAAATGCATGGTATTAAAATTTCTAAGCAAAAAATATGCAATGTTTATTAATCGGACAGGGAAAAACCGCCATTCTGCGTGGAAAGACGACTTCAAACGAATACCCGAAAGATGTGCGTACTGTTGCTTAAATTAAGTTGTTGATAACAACAAAAAATCTGCCGAAGCAGAAATCAATTGCAAAGTCTTTAAATACATCTATAGCAACAGTAAATACAGTAATAAACCTAGATTTACAATTTAAAAACCTAAAAGGATAATGTTCACCTGCTTTTGCCGAGGCATGTGGCTCAACGCAGAACGATTTGTAGAACACTGTATGAAAACTATTTAGCAGAGGAAAGATGAAAACACATTGTGACCCTTCAGGAAGCATGGGCTAGTCTATTTCACTACAACAAAAAAAGAGCTATTTCTTATCGAAAAAAAAAGGAGAAAAAAACTGCATAAACATGGTTGAATTGAATTTTATGGTTTAAATGCAAAGAACGTGATATTTAAAAAATAAAGATAGCACACAAAACGTTAAAAAAACTGTTTTTTTGGGCGTAATATAAAATTTTTAAGCTTCTTTTTTTAATTTTTTTTTATTTCCGTATTTTTGGGGGCACCGTTTAAAGAAGAAGTACCATATATGGAAGAGATTTTATGTGTTTTTATTAAATCTTTTAATTTGCAAAAATACCTCTGAAAATTTCGTAATCAGGGAACTTGACTTCTGATTAAGATATCAATTTTAACGATATTACATAATCTTATCGTATATATATGGAACATAAATATTTTAGTTGGAATTGACATCAAGTGCTAAGGCCGAATTTTATTTAATGTGTTCAGTATAAAAGTTCGCGTGAAAACACGACTCATTGTTTTGCAAAAGAATGTTTTTAACTCTTGTGAATTTAAATCAACAGTTGCACATATCTGATTAGCTGAGAGAATTGTAATTCTTGCCTATCAATCACTGAAGTTAAAATGTGCTGATTAAGCATTTGTCTATCCATGATGCAAAATTACAGATAAAAAGTTCAGCATAGTCCTGAAATGTCATATCATTGCAACACTGAAAGGAAATTCAGTTGTTCCCAAATATCGATGAATAGTATTATTTATTTTACAGAAATTTATCAATAAGCTTTGAGGACGATAAGTTATTGGCGTTAAGTAACGTATGACTGTATTTAGCATTTAAACGAATTTGCATGTTAATTGCATTAAGACTGATACATAGAAAATGAAATTAATAGCGCATCATAATTTTATTCCTGAACAAGAATTCTAATAATTTAAGTAATAAAAAATGTAATGAGTAAATTAACATTTTCTTTGAATTTCTAAGCGTTTTAAAACAGACACCAATTAGTCCAACAATTTAAAATTAGCCAAAATTAAGAGCAACCTTATTTTGATATAGATTATGAGTAAAAAGTGTGTGGATTTCGAGGGTTCTCAGACGCAGCTCCCTTTTGTTCAGGATCAAAATAAATAAATAAATAAACAAAATATTCCGGGCTACTTTTTCTTTTCTTTTCTTTTTAGCCCAAAAGGGCTATTAATTTCGTTTTGGCTTTTTGCGTCTTCCACTATAAAATGGCCTTTCACTTTCCGAATTGTTGCCACCAAATATTAGAGACCTGCATTATATTTAAAGAAATTAAATACTGAAGAATCTACATGTACGTATGTATGTTTCTCGCAATGTGAGCAAATAACAGTATCTAGAGACATCAAATTCTGAATAACGCAGTCCTCCGCTCGAATATGGGTATTTGGAATTCCTAATTTGGAATTTATTGTATTATCTATTTCAAATTTTGTAAAACTTACACGAATTTTTTATTGACATACTCAACGATTTCAAAGCGAGCAATGGCAACACTGTATGGATCTCCAGCGCGCGAGACTATGTATCGGAAATTCTAAAGAATATTCTTTTAAAATTATTTTGAGATATTGGTATTGAATTGGATTTCATGGTTTAAGTGCGAAGAACATGATATTTAATAAATAAAGGTAACACACAAAACGTTCAGAAAGCATTCAGATTTTTTTTCACTTTTCAGATATATATATATATAGATATAGATATAGATATATAAAACAGAGGATATGTAACATTTCTCATGTTATTTTAGAAGTCAAACAACAAAACATTCTCATTCAACATTCAAATCAGCGCTTCCCAAACTGCATTCCGTGAACAATCAATGAGTATTTTGCGAAAACTATTATTACATGGATACGGTTTGGTAATGGATTGAATGCACACAGAACTGATTGATAGCTGATATTTTTATCTTTGACGCTTTACCCCCCCCGGCTTCCTAGTTTGAGTATTTCAACCGTTTCAATAATCATACATTTTAATTGAATACATTGAAATCATACATTGAAAGATCAACCAATTAATATAAAAAAATACCAATAGTTTAAT